TAGCACTCTGCCACGGAGCTACAGCCCCAGCCCTACAATCTAATCTTGAAGTAGATATTAAATATGTATTAAATAACTGAATTATGAATATTCTAATCCTACAAAGCTAATCTCCAGAATGCCAGCCCTTTCCCCCATGGCTCTTCTAACTAACTTAATATTCACTTCTTTTAAGCAGAGTTCATTCTTATGTCAGCCTGACTCTGGTTATTCTCTGGTTCTGTATTTTTCTCAGTATGAATAGAATTAATTTATACCAAAAGTCATATGGGTGTTTCAAATTGAACTTTATTAATTAGGTACACTTTGGTGGGACACCATAAATGTAATGATCACCTATTTCTCTACTTTTGCAGACTCTGAAACTTCATTCCTTCAACAGATAACAGTTTTCCTGGACATCAGTGGAAGTTAGGTTCAAGTTCCCCATGAGATACCAAAATGTATGGATGCTTAAGTTCCTTATATAAAATAGAGTGATATTTGTATACAACAGAAACACATCCTCTTATATACATTAGGTCATCTCTAGATTACTTATAACACCTAATATAATGCCTGCCTACCATTTCATTCACATGTACTGTAGTACTCAGTATGCTACAAATTCAAGTTTTGCTAGTTGGAAATTTCTGGATTTTTCCCCAATATCTTTGATCTCCAGATTGTTGAATTCATAGATGTGAAATCCCCAAATAAAAAGGCAACTGTACTTACTGAAAGTCTTTGGTGATGCACATCATCAGGACTAGTCCAGTTCCTCTCCTTAAGGATTTGACAGTTTAGTAGAAGAGGCAAACAAAAGATTACAAAATAGCTTAAGTGCTATTATACAGAACTACAAGGGTGTAGGAACATCCAATCAATCCAGAGGTGGTTTAGGTGCAGTTTAGGCATAGCTCTCCAAATTAAGTAGGGCCTTGGCCAAAGGATGTTAGGACTTAGCCTTCTAAAGGTGTGTCAGGCAGTAGGGTAATGCCACTGCCAACAGTAAAGAGAGAGAGAAAAGCCTTGGACAGTGGAAGAGGCTTCGGTCCTTTCTACATTCTATAGACTTCCATTTCTAATGCTTTGGGGTCCTGAATACTTTTAATAGTATTCTGATTTGGTTAAATTAATTGTATTTTGTATAAGTTAATTAGTATTCCAGACAGTTACTTGAAGAAATGACTACTGATGACATGCAAACTGAATCCACAGCATCACCTTCCTCTAAGAGGTGTTCCTCCTCTTCCCCACTAAGAACAAGCTGTAAATTTTTCATTTGGATTTCAGCTTTTGTACACATCTTATTTGCTAATAAGTTTCTTAGAGGAGGTGATACTTGACATGGGTCTTCCAGAGTGGACAGAACTAGGTTGGATGGGTTAATAGCAGAGAGTAAGGTAAAGATGGGAATAACAAGGTAGAAGGCTGGAAGATTAGCAAAGTTTGAAGACAGTGAAATCTGGAGCGTAGTGATTAGCACTTGAGCTTGATAAAGAGAATTAGTGAGAGATAAGGCTAGAAAAGTGTAGAGAGCCAGTCATGGGCTATTTGTGTAAGCTGTGAGTATTTGAGCACATGAGGGGACTGGACTGACATTGCTTCTCTGATTAATATTATATTCTATTTTACCTCAGTGGTTTTTTCCTAAAGTTATTTTGTACCCTGGGAATGTGTGTGTTCTTTTTTTCACTCTGCCTTTGATCCCACATACCCCCGAGATGGCATGGCTTTCCGAGATGTTAGTCAAATCTGCTAACTGCAAGACATCACCAAGCAACTCCCTAAAACCAATCCCTTGCCTTATTTGGGTTGAAATTTCTAGAATGTCTTTCTCCCCAGTAAATAGAGGATTTTCAGGTGGCTCACTCTCTCTCTCTCTCTCTCTCTCTCTTTCCAACAGACTCTTAAGGTCGAGAGCCGTCCCCAATTCCTGCAAGCAAAAGGTATTTCTGTCTGTTGTGTGCTTCTTTCGCTGTTTTCTTAAGTTATTGGTGCAGCTTTTGTGAACCCAGCTCAGGTCGCCAGCCCAGCTAGTTGGCGATAGAAAAAAGAGTTGGCATTGAAATTATACTTAATAGATCATTGGTCAAATTTTTATTTTATTGAAGTACAATCAGAAATAGAAAGCTACTAATGTAAAAGATATTTTAAAAGCTACTTTTAATTATGTCAAATATAGTGGAAAATGTCAGTATAAGTAAAGTTCTCATTTCTGAAAATTTTTTTGCTTTCTTTGGCATTTTTTAATATAATTGATTTAATTATTTTAAATTTATGCTAATTGTTTACAAGCAAGGATATCAGATAGATTAAAAATTCTAAGACCCTTGTTAAAGTTTCATTATATTGCCTTCAAATAAATGAAAGACATTACTATTTAAATGTCTCAGAATATTTTCCATATAAATCATTTATATAGTTCTCTGTAACAGGAGAAATTGCTTCATGCCATTTTGGAAACAAGAAATACCACCTGTTTTAGATGACTCATTCAACTTAATCTAGCCTAGCACTGACCTGGTGGAAATTCTCAAAGTGCATTTGTTGATGTGCCTTTCATCTTCCTCACATGGATCCTAAAGTACTCAAATCTCTAGGAGTCTTAAGCACAGAGCAGTGCTATTGTGTCCATCAGACTTCTGGGACAGGTTCTTCCTCCCAGCTCTGCCATCTATTCCTCCTTCCAATATCATTGGGGATCTAACTGTGTTTCCCACAGGCTCAAGTCATTATCTTACCCTAAGACAAAGACCCTGTCTGCTTTGTAAAAGGAGAGAGAAAATAATTTCAATCCTTGCTGAGAAAGTTACACCATGCTGAAGGTGCTATAATACAAAGATGGGTTCTTATTGTCACTCAAGAAAGGAATGCAATTTGAGTCAGACCCTGTGTTACTCACTTTCATTCACTGTACAAAATACCTGAAATAATCAGCTTGTAAGAAGGAAACGTTTATTTGGGGTTACTATTTCAGAGGTTTCAGTCCATAGTTAGTTGGTCCCACTGCTTTTGGATCTGTGATAAGGCAGAATGTTATGGCAGAGAAGCTGCTCCCCTCAAGGCCAGGAAGTAAAATCAGAACCAGGAAAAGGGTAGGGTTCCCAGCATTCCCTTTAATAGCTTGCTCTCACTTACAACTTCCTTCCCCTAATTTCCACATCTTCAAATTTCTACAACCTACTAATAGCAAGCACCATGGACTGGCAACCAAGCTGTTAGCATATGGGCTTTGGGGGGATATTTAGAGTCTATCATAACAGACTTAAATATGAAAAAGAGAAAGTGAACATTCCCAGAGTACAAAATAACTTTAGGAAAAAACATAGAATAGAATACAATGTTACAAAAAAAATAGAATACAGTGTTAAGTAGTAAAACTTGTTTTGATTGTCAGAAGTTAGATAGGAAAGAGCAGTTTGTCTTTCTAAAAGTTTTGGACTTTCTTCAATAACAGTGGTTTTTCAACTATTTTAGGAAGCCTTGGAATTCCATTAGAGGAACTTGATGGACCACTGTGTGGACACAAACCCCAAAACTTCTGGACCCACCTTCAACCAAATGGATTTCATTTGAAAATCTCCTCATAAGATTTCATGAGCAAAAATTAAAAGGTTTTATTTTGATAACAGTACATTGTTTTCTTCTTACCAAACCCTGTCTCAGACACTTGCCTTCTCTCATTTATACTCAAACCAACACCACAACATCCTTTACAGATGAGAAAACAAGGTCAGGAAGATAATAATGTCTTCGTCTAGATCCCACAGGTAGAAAGTGACCGAACCGAACTTTGAACCCAGGTAGCACTAACTCCGGAGACTATGTTGTCTTACTCTTTGGCATACTTAAGCTAATTTCAGGTCAGGGAAAACCCAATCAGAATTTTGACAAGGTATACTTTCGGCCCCTGCAATCCTAGGCACTGCTTCCTGGCTAAAATGCCCAATAGTGTCAACTTTGTTTCTGGACTTTTAAAACTCGATAAGTCAATATTCAGAAGTCATCTAAAGAAAAGGGTCCAATAAACTCACAGGGCACCCGGAGGAATCAAGATAGCTGGGATGTCACTGGAATGTGCTGCCGCCAGCCCCGCCCTGTATTTTCTGGCCCCGCCCCCGACCGCCGCCGGCCCCGCCCCCGACCGCCGCCGGCCCCGCCTCCGACCGCCGTCGGCCCCGCCTCCGACCCCGCCCCACAGCGTGAGGCGCGTGGACTGCACAACCGTTGCTGGGCGCCTGGGCCGGCGAGGGTTGCCAAAGAAGTTGTAGGTACGCCCATTCTTCTGGATTCTCCCTTTCCAGGCTCTCTCCCACCGATATTTCCCTTTCCGTAGCCCCAAAGAACAGATTTCCCCTCAGTCTAAGAAGCACGTATGGGCTCCAGACGGCTGGGGAAATACACCTTTCCAGGCCTTTCCCTGACTCAACGCACATGTCCCTTTTCTGGCCCTTCCTCTGTTTTCTTTTTCTCCTCTTCCAAGTACTTACAAGAAAGGCTTTTTACTCAAATTTGACTGCAAAACTTTTTTTTATTAAGTGTAGACTATTACAAATGGTGAATGTTTGCAAACGAACCTTCCATGCTCCAGTGATCAGAGATGTGGAGAAGGGTTCAGCATTTGTTGCTGATCCTGAGAATGTCCCAACCCTGCTGTTCTTGGCTTTGTCACAGTGGACCAGCACTGAAAATCAGTGCTTTTGAAGGATAAAGAACAGTAGTTGCACACAAATGGTGTCAGGCACATCATTCAGAAGTTTTATCACAGTTATGCAAGATCACACCAGGCCCGGACAGAGCCTAAGAAAGATGAGATTGGGCTGTGGGGAGTGGCGATTGGCTAGGCCGGCATCTAGGGAAGCTACGTGGCACAACCCCTGATTTTTCATAATTTTAAATAGAATTGTTTTGGGGCGAGAGAAATACAAAAAGTTATGCCTCACTATCACATATAGAGGATTCACTCCCCAAACATTTCATTGCTGTGTGTCTACGAAAAAGATGTTCATATTTATTACCTTCTGTGAATACCAAAATTTATAATGCTACTTTTTAGTTGACTTTTGTCATAAGTTTCTGTTACCAGACAAAGGAAAGAGGCAGGTGCATAAGAGTAATAGATAAAGTACCATACATATAGCTCTCCTTTTACTTTCACAATCACCCTGTTTATACGTTTCCTTAAGATAGGTAGTTAATAAAATCCCATTTTGCTGGGAAGGGAACTAAACACTAAGGTTGAAAAGTACCTGGAACATAATGGAATACATAGTCAGTAAATATTTATTAATGGAATTAATGATTAGGCTTCCCAAGGAGCCATTATTTATCCACTGTTGTATTCTGGACTAAGTCAGACACTAGTAAGTCTACAAATGGGTGTCAAATAGAGAAGCCAACATGCTTAGGCACAAGCATTTATCAAACACTTTTGGAGACTCTCCTACTTTTCCAGGTATTATTTTAAATATTGTGAATAAAATATTAAGAAAGAACAGCACGATCCATGTTCTCATGGCTCGTAAATTCTAGTAAAGAAAAAAATAAATGGTAAACAATATATAAACAAGGACTTTTAGATAATGGTAGGTGCAGTGAAGAAGTAAAATAGTGTGAAGTGAGACTAAGGGAAGACTTGCTTTAGATTGTTTGCTTAGGGAAGTCCTCTCTGAAGAGGTGGCATTTGTGCTGAAACCTCAGTGAGATTTTATATATATATATATATATATATAATATTTATATATATAAATTTATGCATATATACATTAATATATATTTATGTATATTAAATATATTATATAATATATATTTGTGTATATTAAATATATATTATATAATATATATTTGTGTATATTAAATATATATTATATATATAAAATATAAAAGCCACTAATGAAAATATTAAGAATCAGAGCATTACAGGTATAGGCCTAAAATAGGAATGAACTTAGCTTCTTAGAAGAATATGATAAAAATTGGCTGTAACTGGAATGTAGAGAAAGTGGTACAAAGTAAACTTGGAGAGATAGGTAGGGACCAAATCATGTAGGGGTTTGAATAGACTATTTACTCATGGAATAAGTTTGGAAGTTATTTAGCGTGATGAGAAATTGGTAGTGAGTATTGTGGGAGTGATATAATCTGATTTACATTGTTAAAAGATTTGTTTTGCAGTGAACAGATCATAGGGGATGGGGAGTGAGATTTGTAACACAAGATAATTAGATATCCAAGAAGCAATGAAAGAAGTTTGGGATAAAGTGGTTGAAAAGAGAATGGATGTTTTGTAGACAGAGCGTACAGATTTTGTGATATTTTGAAAACAGGGGTGAGGAAATAGTCACTCCTAGCTTGTACAATTTTTGTCTTGAGCTTGAGTAGATGGTTGTGCTACTTACCAAATGAAAAAGACTAGGGAAGAAAAGGGAGGGGAGGTATTTTATTTTGCTTGCTTTAATTTTTACATCATTATTAGAAATCTAAGGTAAGTTTTAAATCTTGAGTTCCTGTGAAGAGGGCAAGAGAGCAGAGATTGAAAGAAGTCACTAGCATGTTGAAAAACTACCTAAAACCAGGGAACATTTCAGTGATTAGGAGATGAAAATGCAGATGGAAGAATATCCAGTAAAAGAGGAAGAAAACTAAGAGTGTGGTGTCATAAAATCCAAAACAATAAAACATGGTCAATGGCATTGAATCATGCTGAGAGATTGAGTAAAATAAAGAGATCTTCATGTTAAATTTTGGCAACATATCATAGATATGCTTTGATAGTACAGTGAACATAAAATTTAGTGTGATGAAATGGACTTGGCACTGTAGACATCTCAAGATAATTTACATTGGAGAGCTGACAAGTGGAGAGAATAGAAGAGTATGGGGGGTCAGAGATGGGTTATTAAAGATGGGGATACAAAAGCTTATTTTTTTATAATAGGAATGATCCAATAAATGGTGGGGTGGAGGGATGAATGGTGTGAGAGAATGTATATACTTTAGGTGTGTGTCTTTGAGAAAATGAGGGGATACCGTACAGGGAATATATTAAAGTATTTTCTTCAGATACAAACATGAACATATAATTTCTAGTAATACAAAGAAAGGCAGTGAATGTTGGATAGATTCAGGGTCAGAACATGAGAAAGTTTTGCTTGATAGTGACTTTTTTTTTAAATGAAGTATTGGGCTGGGGATATGGCTCAAGTTGTAGTTTGCTTGCCTGGCATGCATGAGGCACTGGGTTCGATCCTCAGCACCACTTTAAAATAAAGATATTGTGTCCACCTAAAGCTAAAAAATAAGTATTTTTTTAAATGAAGTATAAGGTATGAGACAAGATAAGGGTGAGGGTTTGAGGGTAGTAGTAGGTATAAGGGGAAAAGGGAGGGTATGAAACAGTCATGTTTGAGAATGGAAAGCAGTCACAGTAGAGAGGCATAGTAACATGGTGGTCAAAATTGAGTGCTAATTTTTACATCTGTGGCCTGAGATAGGGGGAAGAAAAGATTATAGGAGCTAGGGAAGGTCAAAGAACTGAAAGACTGCAGTATCAGACAGATAGACACCCTGGGTACTAGTATTAAGTTAGTAGCTAAAATAGTCTTTGAATGCTAATATCCTGACTTCCCAGCTTAATGGGATATTATTTTACTGATTCAGTATTGTTCTTTTGTGCCACCTACCCTACCAGTCGACATTATATGTGTGTATGTGTGTGTGTTTATAACCTGATGTTTTTTAATTGGTAGATTCATCCAAATTCTAGACTTTTATAGGCTGGTTCTTTTGTCTTATCCCTTTAATACTTCAATATGTACTTATGAAAATTTTTGCTTTTTGTGTTTTTAAACTATTTTTATTAATATGTATTTATTAAAGCACAAAAGTCTAGGGATGTGACTCAGTGGTTAAATGCTCCTCGGTTCAATCCCATGGTACAAAAAAAAAAAAAAATGATATAGGAGAGAGGAAAGGTGAAAAAAATCTAGAAATTCTGTTGCCTTATTCAGTTAGGATGACCAGTAATAGGATTGTACATTGACTTTAATAGCAATAATAATGATAGCATTTTGAATAACCCTTTACATTTTCTGCTAGGCCTTTATTATCATCTAATTTTTAACTGCTTTTTTCAGATAAGGAAATTGAGATTCAGAGAGGGGCTTGATGAAGGACACATACCTAGAGAGTGGCAAAATTATTAACCACCGTGTCCTGAATGAATCCCATATTTTTCACTGTAGTAGTTTGCCTCTTTGCTTTTAATCCTCCATTATATCAAAAGTGATATTAAAGAAAAATTCTGCTGTGTAGAAAGTAACTCTGTTGCTTAGGGGGGTCACTTACAATGTAAAAAAATGTGTTTTTAAAATTCAACAGTTATGGTTGGGAATATAGTTTAAGTGGTAGAACACTTACCTAGCATGTCCAAGGCCCTGGGTTTGATCCTTAGCATTAAAAAAATATATGTTTTAAATTATTTAAAAATATATTTTAAAATGAGATTAAATATTTATCGACCATCTACTGTGTGTTAGGAAATTCAAAGAACCCAGAAATGATGATGAAATCAGCTCTGATTTAATTTAAGAGGGAAATAGATAAGAACAATTGTCACTAAGAAGCATTTATTGG